CAGACATGTGCAATACTACAGTCACTTCTCAGTTGTACTGACTCTGAGCACAGAGGCATCAGATCTGGCCCGGTTCCTGGGTCAGTCTGAGTCTCCTGCGTCTCAGGTGCTTTGGCATGAAACTAGAACCCTGTAAATGCATTTGGAGTCAACATGGCCACAGACGTGAATGCTGGTTGCTGGGAGAGGCGCTCTGTCAGAAGCCAAAATGGAAAACTCCTTCAACATACTCCAAACATGGCACAGAAAACCACTCCTTTATCAATCCATTCAACCTTATGATTGAGTCCAATTCATCCACCGAACTCGGCATTGGGAAGGAACAAGGGGAAATTAAAGAGAAAGACAAGGGCAGAGGAGATTTGGCATTTTGGAGTCTTTTTACTCGATGGCTCCGGGTCTCGTCGCCACGTAGACCAAGAGGACGATGAGCAGCACGAGCACAGCGAGCGTCGGTAGAACGATGGTTGTCACCTGCTCCCGCGCCTCATGCATGGCCTGTTTGCGCTCCTTTTTGTCCTTCCACGACTCCTTCTTCGGCTTGCCCTTCAACTGGCGCATGGCTCAGTGCGTTTCCACACAGCGGGTCACCGGCGATCCCAGATGAAAACCCAAAAGACAATCTCCTGTGAAAGCATATACAATGTTGTGATGCTAAATGTTTTGATAATTATTTTCTATTGAAGCACATGAACAAAGATTTGTAAAGTTGTAGCAATTAACTTTTAATGCATTTAATGGCTTTTATTCATAAATGGATAATATATATATATATATATTTGATTGGATTGGATTGATCGGATCATGATTTGTAATTCCATAGATTTTTTATAATAATGTGCAATGATGAATTCTGCCCAACAGTACCAGGAATGTATATTTAAACAAAAACTAACATACTAATAAATTATAATATTTATATATTATTAATAACGGATACCATTTTTATTTGACTTTAGGTTTTTAATCCCTTTGCTTTTTATCAGTAAAATGATCCTGCAGTGTGACAAATGAATTTTTAAGTATGTCATATGAATTATAAATGCATAATTATTGAAAGAACTTGAATTATTAAAAGATTTTGATTTCATCCACTAGGATTTGACTGGATGTGAAGTCAGTGGAAAAGTTGTTTCAGAGGCACAGTAAGTTATTATATTTTGATAAGAGGGGAGTGAATACACCAGGAGTGTATATTAAAAATATTAATACTCTATTAATACATTATAATCTTAATATATTATTAAAAAATAAAAAAACGTTTTTGTGCATTTTTCTGTTAAATTATCCTGATTTTTAGATTTTTAAGTATGTCATTTAAATCATGAATGCATAATAATTGAAAGGTGTTTAGGGTGGAGTATAGCGTGTCACACTGTAGAATGCTGCTGTCACTACAAAATAAAAAATGTACATTAAATATTGCTCAATATCTGTGGCTTCACACCTTTATAAAGTTTTTTTCACCCGTAGTCATGGCAACTGAGCAAAGGCCAGCAGTAAGAAATCTGAATGTGGAACTGCAGCAGCGCGCGCGTGCGCACACACACACACAGGTTTGTTTTTGTGAAAAGTGGGGACATGGGGTAATGTCCTGAAAAGTCACCTTCTCCTTGTAATACCTATGTTATACCTTTGTCATTATACAAATGTATGTCCTCATTTGTCACAAAAACGCACACACACACTCTCTCACACACACACACAAACTCTCACACACTCTCTCACACACACACACACACACACACACACACACACTCACACAAACACACACACAGAATGAAGCAGAACAGCAGCCGTGGACACAATTCCCACCAAGACAAACAGGAACTGGGTGTTGTATCCTGAATCTTAAGATTTTGTGCACACATTAAGTGTGTCCCATAATGAACTACTCACTTGAGGGAAAAAATAAACTCTATACACAGTTAAACTAAACCCTTTTACAAACAAGTCAATTTTCACTTTTCAAACAGCAGTATCTTGCAGATCAGCTCAGGTGAGTTAGGCTAATCTGGGACATGAGGCTCTGATTTCTTACTTTATCTCGGAGTAAATCTGTTCACTTTACTAGTAGTCGATCAGTGACTGATTTTAATACTGATGTCTAGCCATAAATATAAATGGTAATACATATAATGGAAACACTTTACAATAAGGTTCCATTAGTTCATGAATGAACAATGAGCAATATATTTATTACAGTATTTATTCATCTTTGTTAATGATAGTTAATGAAAATACACTCATTCATTGTTCATGTTAATTCACAGTGCATTAACTTATGTTAACAAGCACAACTTTTGATTTTAATAATGCATTAGTAAATGTTGAAATTAACTAAGATTAATAAATGCTGTCGAAGTATTGTTCATGCTTAGTTAATGTTAACTAATGAATCTTATTGTAAAGTGTTACCATATAAATACAATTTAGGAACAATTTAACAACTGCAAATGAGATGTAAACACTCATATGAAACACTTGTTGAAAAAATTAATTAAAATAATAATAATGATAAAAAAAACTTTAAAACAGTATTGTTCAAAATCTACTGACAAAAAAACACTTGTAGCTTCTTAAACTAAAACATGATTTCATTTGGGATTTGTGGAGAAGGATTTTAAAGGGATCATATGATGCTTTTTTAAAGATCATTATTTTGTGTATTTGGTGTAACAGAATATGTTGACATGCTTTAATAAAAAAAAAAAACACATTATTTCACTGTCGTTGTCACGGTTCCTGGAGGTTTTGAGTCAGTGAGCGGGGCTCGACCGTGATTACGTGGCAGTCTCTCTCTCTCTCTCTCTCTCTCTCTCTCTCTCTCACTCACTCTTCTCTCCCACTCTCTCTCTCTCTCTCTCTCTCTCTCTCTCTCTCTCGGGGGCACGAGACAAGGAGGAGGTGAAAAAAGAAAAAAAACATCTGTAGTGACAGTGAGTCCGTACCACCGACAGGGGGAGACGAGGAGACGATAAACAGAGTGTTCTGTTACACAAAAACTTTTGCAAATTGTTTTTTTAATAACAAACATAAAACGCCCGCATTACGTGACTTACAACACTGAAATGTGTGTCTTGCGAAATAGTACCTGTTTCCGTAACATACTCAAGAGGAGCGGCCCACAGGTTTTTAGCCAATCAGAGTACAAGGGCTGGCTTTTTATGTGTTCTGATTGGTCTGACACATCAGTGATGGGCGGGGTTTGGGAGAAAGGCGTGTTCAGTTTGTAGACACTACTAAACGCTCAAGAGAAGTAACATCTTTTGAGCAATGAATTCCCTTGGAAATATATTTTAAAAAATCATATTATGAATAAAATTACTTCAAAATCTTTATTAATAATCCCAAATTACTGGATGGATCAAATTCTTTGGTATGTGTGTGTGTATATATATATATATGTGTGTATATATATATATATATATATGTGTGTATATATATATATTTTGCTAAAATCATTTCAGTTATTTTTTTTTCCTCATTAATGTACACACAGCACCCTATATTGACAGAAAAACACAGAATTGTTTTTTTTTGCAGATTTATTAAAAAAGAAACCTGAAATATCACATGGTCTTAAGTATTCAGACCCTTTGCTCAGTATTTAGTAGAAGCACCCTTTTGATCTAATACAGTCATGAGTCTTTTTGGGAAAGATGCAATAAGTTTTTCACACCTGGATTTGGGGATCCTCTGTCATTCCTCCTTGCAGATCCTCTCCAGTTTTGTCAGGTTGGATGGTAAACGTTGGTGGACAGCCATTTTTAGGTCTCTCCAGAGATGCTCAGTTGGGTTTAAGTCAGGGCTCTGGCTGGGCCATTCAAGAACAGTCACAGAGTTGTTGTGAAGCCACTCCTTCGTTATTTTAGCTGTGTGCTTAGGGTCATTGTCTTGTTGGAAGGTAAACCTTCGGCCCAGTCTGAGGTCCTGAGCACTCTGGAGAAGGTTTTCGTCCAGGATATCCCTGTACTTGGCCGCATTCATCTTTCCCTCATTTGCAACCAGTTGTCCTGTCCCTGCAGCTGAAAAACACCCCCACAGCATGATGCTGCCACCACCATGCTTCACTGTTGGGACTGTATTGGACAGGTGATGAGCAGTGCCTGGTTTTCTCCACACATACCGCTTAGAATTAAGGCCAAAAAGTTCTATCTTGGTCTCATCAGACCAGAGAATCTTATTTCTCACCATCTCACAACTCCATGCGGGCTTTCATGTGTCTTGCACTGAGGAGAGGTTTCCGTCGGGCCACTCTGCCATAAATCCCCGACTGGTGGAGGGCTGCAGTGATGGTTGGGTTTCTACAACTTTCTCCCATCTCCCGCCTGCATCTCTGGCGCTCAGCCACAGTGATCTTTGGGTTCTTCTTTACCTCTCTCACCAAGGCTCTTCTCCCCCGATAGCTCAGTTTGGCCGGACGGCCAGCTCTAGGAAGGGTTCTGGTCGGCCCAAACGTCTTTCATTTAAGGATTATGGAGGCCACTGTGCTCTTAGGAACCTTAAGTGCAGCAGAATTTTTTTTGTAACCTTGGCCAGATCTGTGCCTTGCCACAATTCTGTCTCTGAGCTCTTCAGGCAGTTCCTTTGACCTCATGATTCTCATTTGCTCTGACATGCACTGTGAGCTGTAAGGTCTTATATAGACAGGTGTGTGGCTTTCCTAATCAAGTCCAATCAGTATAATCAAACACAGCTGGACTCAAATGAAGGTGTTTTTCTGTCAATATGGGGTGCCGTGTGTACATTAATGAGGAAAAAAAATTAACTTAAATGATTTTAGCAAATGGCTGCAATATAACAAAGAGTGAAAAATTTAAGGGGGTCAAAATACTTTCCGTACCCACTGTATATATATATATGTGTGTGTGTGTGTGTATATATATATATATATGAAGAGAGAGAGAGAGAGAGAGTATATAAAATATGTTATATGTATATATATATATATATATATAATACATATAATTGTTACATTACATTGTTGTTTTTCCAGGTTCAAGTGGCTTTATTGGCATGACAAAAAATGATATACCAGTAAAAAAAACTATTATATAAATACAATATCTGAATATACACACAAAATAGAGGTTGTCCCTTTCTTACAGCAAGACCTCACCTCCCTTGCAGTTATATTTGTACTTTCTGGGGTTTCATTTAGCAGGTATAGGAGTTTGACCTCGTTTTATTGCAATTGAATAACTTTGTTGTGGGCTGCAGGGAAAGAACATGTTTAACATGAGTAAGTTGTGAGTAATTAGCCGCATGTGGTCATAAAGTGCAGCTCTGTTTCCATTTCATTTTATGAGCTGACCATCTGTGTCTTTCAACACACACACATAACATATTTTTGCTAGTGCATTTTTTAGTTTCAAGCAATCAAATACATGTTAATGGTAAATATGTTTGATATGTACTTGCATACAAACACACCTACTGTAAACAATTCTTTCAAGCAGATTACATGCATGATCTCAGGGTTTTTGATGCACTTCTCCGTGGAGGCTGTTATCAGGTGGTCAGCGCACGTACATGTCCTGTGGGTGTGTAACTGCCAGCGATGCGTCCCAGCTCTTTCTTGATCTCCCAACGCTGAAGAGCTGAGGCCCAGGGCTCCAGTTCAGGGTCAAAAAAGCGAACACGAGTCTATAAACAGAGAACAGCCTTTAGGTCACAAATAAAAACATACAGAAGGACCAGAGATGTCATTGAGCACAAGTTGAATGAATTTGAAAGTTAAAAAATAGACACTTTGGACAAACATATACCTATATCTGTATTTTGTTTTAAATCTGAGGTTGGTAGAATTTTTTGGGGAAAAAAAATTGTGAAAGAAAAATTTTTTTGGGCAGAAATTATTTAGATAATTATACGGTAAAAACAGTAACATTGTGAAATACTACTGCAACTTAAAATAACTGTTTGCTATTTAAATATATTTTAAAAAGTAATTTATTCCTGTGATCAAAGCTGAATTTTCAGCATCATTATCCTTCAGAAATCATTCTAATATGCCGATTTCTTATTATTAGCAATGTTGAAAACAGTTTTGCTGCTTCATATTTTTGTGGAAACCTTTTATTTATTGATTAATAGAAATTTCAATAGAACCGCATTTATTTAAAAACAGAAATCTTTGGAAACATACATTTTGATTAATTTAATGCATCCTTGCTACTGATTGTAAAATGTATCAAAATAAGAAATGAATAGATCCAATTCAATTCCTTTATTTTTTTTTATCATTTGAAAATCTATTTTCTTAATCCATTTCCCAAACCAGTTAAAATTCTTCTAAAAATGCTTCTGTACAATTGATCACTGAATTTTTAGGAGCCCTTTTAATGAATTTTAAACAAACCATATGAAATAATTTCATGAATCATGTCTCATTTGCTACCTGAGCTGAAGTGGACCATGTGCCGTCTTTTCCCATCTTGCAAAAGCTCTCTGTGAGTTTCTGTGGCTCAGCCTGGCCATTAAAGCTCTCAGATTTAGAGCAGAGCCCTCTGTGGTCCTCATCCATGTTCTCTGTGATCTGAGGAACAGAGAAGCGGGATGCCAACGAAGGAATCAAATCAAAGGCAAAATTGAGAGGCGAAATAAATTTCCATCCTCTGGAGAGCTTGCATGATTTCAACACTGGCTGTGATCAGAGAAGGAGGCGGCGTCCTAAAGTCTGACATGCTTTTGAGCATCAATTTCAGGATTTTAGAACACAGGAGACGATCATATAGGAAACACAACAGCATTCGGATTCAGTTTAAAGGGATAGTTTACTCAACAATAAAAATTCTCTCATTATATGTCTCTATGATTATTGCTAGTGTATAAATGGATGATGATGGGGTTTGTTTACCTGCTGTGACTCCAGATAAACTTCCCTGAGTCTCATTTCTGCCTCATCCCTCTCATCTTGGAGCCGTTTCAAACTCTCTTCCAGGTGCTGCACACACATAATAGCAGCATTCAGCACAAAACCTCTGATTATTCCTTTATATAATGGCAATTCTCCAGCACTTTGTTGGTCTTGCAGTATTGATGGCCTGAAGGGCAAACAGACAGGAAGATGAAGGGAACTGTGACTTGCTGATACTGCACAGAGGAAGGAAAATGAGGAGAGAGAATCACAAAGCAAACAGAAACTGAGAAAGAGACGAAAGAAGAAAAGATGGGCAGAAAAGGAGGATGGTACTAATGGTTCCTGTAATTTCACATGGACCACAAGAGCTGAGGGCACCATCTGGGACAGTGTCACAGATTTAAGGTGAACAAGAGAGCGCTGACCCGACATTTCTCCTGTAGCGTGCGATTGAGATCTCTTTCGGCCTGTAGCTCCGCCTGCTGAGTGGAATACAGACACTGCAGCTCAGACTGGAGAGAAACCATCTCAGAACGCAGCTGGAGCAAAGACTGAGACTGAAACACACACATAACACACTGTGAGATATCATCTTTAATAGGGATGGATCGGTCGGGATGTTCACTGTAGTCCAGCAAGTTGGTTCTAAAGAGATTATCCAAATTTTCTTAGGATTTTAGCTCTAATATTGTTAGCAGCAGTGCGTCAAAGGGTGAATTTAGAAATGAAACTTTTTAGACTGTTCAAGCTAGTAAAGCAGCGCTTGTATAATACATTTTCTGCCTTCAACAATACATTTCAAGACAATTATGGTCAAACTTCAAATCAAGTTTGATGAACAGTGCTCCTATTATTATTCACAATACTTAAATGTATTTTTTTGCGAGGAATATGTAAAATAATAATTCAGAATAATAGTATTAGATTGGAAATCACTTTAAATACATCTAAGCAAAATTCAATTGAACTCAATTTAATACTTAAATTTCATTGTGCTCAACAAAATGAAATACATTATAAAAATTACAATTCAAATATGCCTCAAATACAGCACTTCAACACATTTTTTATAAACAATGAAATTATATATTAATATTAATGAAATATTAAGGCGAGTAAAATACAAATAAAGTTGTTCAACTTATTGATCTGCATGGATAATCTGCAAGGGGGCAGAAGACATGCTGTAGAAAAGGTTTTTGGGACAGTATTATGTAAAAGATGTAGAGGCCTTAGAAATTTATGTATAAAATATGATAAATACATCTTTTTTGGGTTAAGACAGAATAGTCGTTCAAAAAACCATCAACTGGGATTTTAAAAATATTTGGTTTAGCATAACCTTCATAGAGGCGATTTTCACTTGTCTGTATATAAACAGGTTTGAATGCATACCTGTTCATAACTCCTCCTCTTATATTCATCCTTTGCTTCTTGAAGACTTTCAATTTCTGCTTCTAAATCCTGTCGGGAAGGCAAAGATGACGCAAAAAGCTCTGCCTGTATCTAGTACAGAGATGTAAACTGTGGGTAAAGTGACACCTTGATTCTCAAAGAGTGTTTCAGAGCAGTTCTGTTGTCCAGATACTGGCTCAGTTGAGACTTCTGATTGGACACCAACTTCTCCAGCTCAGACGCCTTCTCTCGAAGCTCCTGATTGGCTCGTGAGAGGTCACCTGACTTTGCCGATGCATCATTTAGTGCCTTCTTCAGCTATATAGAAACCAGGAGTAGTGAATCAAAATAGAACTGAATCATAGTCATATATATTTATAAAGCACTTAAAAAACTACAGTAGATCAAAATGCTGAACATTAAAATCTACCAAGACACAACTAATTTACAAAAATATTAAGATTATTTAATATTACCCTCTGTGCCGACTTCCTCCCAGAATCTTTTTCTCTTTTGAGCAAGTTCTTGAGGGAATCTACATGTTCTGTCAATCGACGGATCTGTGCTCTCGCCTCTTTAAGCTCCACCTCCCTGCTGATGTAATTATGTATAACGTGAACTCAAGAAAACAACAGGGTCCTTTATTTGAACATAGCTTATAGTTAAATACATAATAGACCTTGGACACGTGCATACAGAAAATACATGAACAATCCAACACGAACAGATAATCCATGCAAAAGTTTAGGCATGCACCATATATCAGTGACTGGTAAACCATAATGTTCATAATATACCATAAACAACTTCCCTTACCTCTCGCTGAGGGCGTTTAGTTTCTCCTGAGCATTGTGGTTTTCCCGTAAGGCCTGCTCTAAACTCTGGGCAAGTTTCCTGTTGCCCAGCTGAGCTTCGTTAAGTGCTTTCTGCAAAGATTCAACCTTCCAAACATATGTAAACAGTTAAACAACTCCATCACATCTCTTATTTATTTGACATTTATTTGGTCATTCATCGGTGCGTTTGTGTGCATTTACCTCCTCATTGTTCCTTGCGTTGTGATTCTCTACTTCAGCTTCAAGCCTCTGAATCTCTTCCATAGCCTGCAGTCTGACAAACACACTGAAATGCTGATTACTACAAACAATCACTGAGTGAAAACACACAAAAATCATGTTTACAGTAATGCACTTATAATGGAAGTCTATAGGGCTAGAAATGAGCAAATATTCCAGAGAAATTAGCAAATATTAAAGCTCTTTATTAAGTGTTAACTTTATTAAGTATTAACAAACTCATCTCTGTCTTGGATTGCCTTAAGGTGAGTAAATTTTCAGAAAATAAAAATTTTTGGCTGAACTATTCCTTTAAACATGCTCACTGTGAATACAGCACTTCTACAATGAGTTACACTGAAACTTTTGGGTAATGCTACATCCATGCCACAAGTCCTGCAATATGGGCCAGTGCAACAAGAAACAAGTCCCCCGTTAAGTTGCATTGACTCTGTTCCTTTAATCAGACGTTTGTCCTCTTGTAGTCTCTCTCACACACACCTCTCTCTCCCGAGTGTGTGTAGTTCCTGTGCTCTTTCTCTCAGCTCTGCATGCAGTGTCTGTGTGTTCTGCTGCAGATGAGTGTGAGACGACAGGACGTTCTCCAAAGTTTGTGCTACTTCATTCTGTTACGCACAAAACATAAAAATTGATCTTTTGTTAATTCAACTAATAGGTTTTAATTGTCTTTCTTATGAAAAACTCACCGTGTCTCTGTGCTGTTGCTGAAGTGCACAGAGTTGCTCTTTTAGTGTCTGATTTTCTCTCTGCATCTGAGAATAAGAAAGAAAGAGTGTTAAATATTCAGTAGTTCACTAGTTGAAGGGGTCATATCATGCATTATTTAATATTTCCCCTTAAAGTTCTTTTGTAAAGTTTTTGGTTCTGAAAAACAACCATTATTTTGTTTTAAATCACCATTTTGCACCCCACGCCCAAAAACACTTTGCTGCTCTCACACAGTTTTTAAATGCTCCATTATTCCATAACAACCACATAAAACAATGAGCACTGAAATGAGATGCACGCATCCTCTGTTCTGCTAGAATTATATTGCTCTGGCTCGGCAGGATACAGTTATAAACACAGAATGGACATTGTTAAATGCTAGTCATATGTTAATGTTTTGCTTTCTAATGTCTAGAATCTAGGGATGCAAGTTATAATGGCACCATGTCAGTTAATGACCGATATTATAGAAAATACAAATCATTTAATAACACTGTTAAATCTAATCTCAGAATGAATATCCATTTTCATATTGTACATTATAATGCTGGGATGTTTAACATGCACTTGTAGCATTTAAAACGACATGCACTTGTTGGTTTTAGTTTTTAGTGTTTTCTTAATTTCATTTACTTTTAAGTTTTAATTTAAATTTAAATTAATCAAGAAAATAATTTTGGGCTCGTCAGGTATCAGCCAAAACTGTAATACTGAAATTTCTCAGCACTACAGAAATCTTGTGGTTTTTAAATGAAGAAGTTTTGATGCTTAGTATATTTATTATATTTATAATAGACTGTCTTTTTGGACTGGAGAGGAAGTACAGCAAACTATTTGACCTCAAAAGATGTTGGTAAATCTGATTCCTCGTGATATGAACCCTTTAATCAATAAACAGTGTTAAAATTTGACCCGTTTCAGTTGCTTTTCTGCATTCATGCTGTTCAGTTTCACACACCTGAGAGGCAGAGAGCTTGTGAAAGTGGTTGTTAGACAGAGGAGTGTGTGTGTGTTTACCTGTGTGTAAGTGTTCTGCAGCGCAGTGTTGCTCTGACAGTGTTGAGTACATTCTGCTTTCAGTGTCTTCAGGTCAGTGGCCATCTGCTGCACTCGTGCCTGTGTAAACACACACACACACACACGGTCTGTTCATTTGAAGCCTGGTGTGTGTTTCTGACATATGATGTGTGTGTTCACACTGTGCAAAATGTGTACAATAAATCCATATACATGCAACATGTGTGTGTCTGTGTGAAACAGACCTGTAGCTTGCCCTTCTCATAGGCCAGTTTGTTCTTGCTGTCTGTCGAGTCCCAAAGCATCTGTTCAATCTGACGATGAGTTACCTGAGAGAGCGAGAGACTTACTAGCACACTCTTCTTTTGAAGAGCATCTGACTCTGTGATCTTTTGATCTCAAACCTGCTGATGCTCCAAGGCTGCCAGGCTCTCCATCAGCTCCTTGTTGTCCTCCTTCTGTTTCCGCAGTGCTGAGTTCACCATGGTCAGCTCCACCTGTCAATCACAGGGGGAAGAAGAAGATGTTTATGGTAATTGCTGTAGTGGAGTCAGTATAGCAGGTCAAATGAGCTCCAGTTTATAGCCAGCAAATACATGAGAAAAATGTCAAAGTTCAGTGTAAAAACTCAACCAGGAACTGAACTGATCTCCTGGATGCACTAGAGAAGGACAGGAAGTGACCTCATATTTGGTCAGCAGTACCTTGACCTCTGACAGCTGTGTTTCCAGAATGTTCTTCTCCTTCTCCAGCAAAATGACTGCAGAGTTCATCTGAGATTTGGAAATAAAAAGTTCATTACAGCAATGGGCCACAAGTGGCTGTGTGGTACAGTGCTTTTACAAACGCTAAGAGCTGTTGTTAATATGAAGTGAAAAGAATTACGGTGCTAATGCACAAGCACTTGTTGCTGTATTGCTTTGATAAAACGGCAGCTTTTTAATAGTATTAATAAAAACAATAACAATAAAAATAATAATATATTAACATTATGAATTTTTTATTTGAATAATTATAATAAATTCAATATGTATTTATTATTATATAATTATTAGTTTATCATTATTATTATAATCATTATTTTTTATAATAATTTAAATACGATATTGTTATTACCATCAAATTAATCATGTTATTATGATACTTTGTATAATGTGTATATTAATTATATAATTATGTATACTTTAATAAAACATTGTAGTAGTATTATTATTATTAAATCATTTTATTATTGTCATTGTCATCATAATTATTATTCATAAATATTTATTTATTTTTTATTATCAAATTCATCATTTTAATAAGTAATACATTATAAAATGTGTATATGTATATTATGTATAATTTATCATATATAATTATGATACCTTATAATACATTATAATTAAATTAATCATGCTAATAATTATGATACATTGTATAATGCGTTTATGTATATTAATTATGTATAATTGAATAAAACATTGTAGTATTATTCATATTATTATAATTTTGTTATTGTCATTGTTATCATTATAATTATTATCAATAAAAATATATTTGATGTATCAAATTAATCATTTTAATAATTATAATACATTATAAAATGTGTATATGTATATTATGTATAATTTATCATATATAGTTATGATACCGTTTAATACATTATATATAATATAATATAATAATACATATTGCTACTGCTACTACCACTACCAATAATAATAATAATAATAATGTTTCAAATGTGGTTCAGTGCCAGAACTATCTGTATCATGCATATACATTTAAACAACATTGCTTGTGTCCTTTTCTTTTAACTTTCAACTGACCGTACTCTTTATCTGATCTCTCTCTTCTCTCAGGGTCGCTCCATCCTTCACGGCACAGCTGAGCTCCCCCTGAAGCCTCTGGATGGTGCGTTCCAGCATCTGCTGATGATTGACAGCTGTCTCCTGGGAAACCGTGGACCTTTGCTGCAGTTTGCCATGATCTGCCTTCAGTGCCTCCCTTTGAGAGAAATTAAAAGAGCTGACGATTACAAACAAAATTAAGATCCTGATGTCATTTACAGTACATTATGTCAGAACTGTGATTTACAATCATATTTTCTTTTATCTTGTGTAGTTCTGTTAATGGTTTTCAAGCATCACGCAACATTTTGTCATCAGCCTAATCTAACAATCTACAAGTGAGATGAATTTGAGCCAAAATACGGTAGCGTTTTCTTGGATACAGCATTTGGCATCAGCAACATAAGACATAGGAAGCGTTTGTCTTTTTCCTGCTGTGAATGATTTATAGTGTGTATCTCACAGCTCTTTCTGCAGGGTGAGTTTCTCTGATATGGTGCCCTGTAGTTCAGCCTGGATGCTCCTCCTGGCTGTGTCTAAAAGCAGATCCTGCTCCTGAAGGTGTTTAGACACACGATCTCGCTCCGCCTGAACAAACAGCACAAGCACAAGCACAGCAGTGTCTGAGAGAAACTATCAGCAGAACTTTTGTTCAGTTTTACTCTTACTGGCATCTTTTACAGTTCTATCCTTCTTAGTCATTTGTTTAATTAGTGTTAATTTGCTAAATTTGTTTTATTATCTTATTTTACTTTGCTTTGCTATTTCATTTGAGAGCATAAATTAAACTAATCCTATTTTACTGTTTAACTATTACTATTAGTGTTATTTTGTTTCTTATGACACCTTGTCAGTTCTAATGTACAATTGTTTTTCATGCCATCAAATGACATTAAAACTGAAACTAAATAGAAATACCTTAATTTTGTTGTGATATTCTGTCTGCAGTCGAGTGTTTTCCAGTGTTAATGAATGAAGAGCAGAGCTCAGCTCTGAACACTGACCCTCTAACTCTTCATTCAACACCTGAGAGAAAGAAAGAGGTCAACTTTTTATAATAAGCTTTATTCATAACATGCACAAACATTTTCACATCAGGGGCCGGTTGCGTAGACTAGTCTTAAAAAGTTAGCCATCTAAGTTGTTTTCTTACAGACTGGTCATAACTGTTTAAAGTCAGTTGCAAAAATGTAGATTGCCCCAATTTTAATCAGAAAAGTGAGACTAATTATCTCTTGGCTAACTGCTAATTGGTCAAACTAGTTTTTAAGACACAGTGTCTATGTTTATCCAACCGGCCCCAGAAAAGGAAACTTTATCATGTTGTTGGCTTAACAAAGATGGATGGATACATATGGGCCAGATGAATAACGGCCTAAATTGCAGTCTGTTTTTCACACAAATTATTTGAACGACTTCAGAAGTTTATAGAGCACAGCGAAGAAATTACATGCACTACTATATGGTACTTTTATATGCTTTTGGAGCTTGACATTTACAATGACCTTCCATTCATCCCTACTTGACTTTCACAGATGATAAAGTCACATGGGTTTGCAGTAACTGAAAGGATTTTTATTCTTTTAATATTGCAGTATCCGTTTTTATTTATTCATTTATTTGGGAATATTGTAAGAGCCCATTTTTAATCATTTAAAAGCTTTATGTAAATATTTGCAACTTTTCTGACAAAAAAAGTTAATTCAGTTTTATTTTTAAATGAAGAGTGTAACTTCATTATTCAAACAAAACAGTGAAGACAGAAAGAACATATGCGGTTTTCATAGTTTTTTTCGACAAAATTGTGCTGTTTTTTTTGTCAGAAAAACTTTAAAAGCTCTGAGAAACTGTCTGGAGTTGATGTTTTTTCACATAAATTCTTCAATAAGAACAATTTAACTCCTTATATTGCAGCTCACTCTTTTTTCCCTTTAGTATTATAATATATAATATAACATTTTCAAGACAATCAGATTATGGGGGTTAGGCGAACGTTTTTCCATTTTCAAACGGGGATGTCACCAAACTAAATTGAGAACCATTGCTCTAATTCAAATCTGTACAATGACAGTATGTTGGCTTTGTTGAGCTAAAATAAATATATAATGCTGAACAGATTGTGTTTGTGTGTGTGTGTGTGTACCTGGACTTGATCTGCAGCTGCTCTGAGGTCTCGTCCATCTCTAATACGTCTGCTGTTCTCCTGCTGTTGTTTCTGCAGAGCTGTCTTCATGCTCTAAACACACACAAACATCATGAGATGTTTCATTCCCGCTGTCAGTGTTTCTCTCACATGTTCTCGTACCTTGATCTCTTTGGTCAGCTGTGATATCAGAGTCTCTTTCACTCCTGCGAGGAAACAAAATGCTTTAGTTTCACAACCAACAGACATACTGTAGCATAAACAAAGTTTGAAATGTCCCATAATTCAGTGTGTCTGACCGGACTGATCTCGGAGCTGCTGACACTCTCTTTCCAGGCCCAGAATTCGCTCCGCCCTCTTCTTTAGCTCCTCCCTGTTTGCCCGTCCGTCAGTACGTAAGGCGTGAGAGTCTGCTTGAAGAACCTCCACCTGACAAGACACCAGCAAAGAGGACAGAAAGCTTAAATTAGGCATTTTATGAATGTCTCTAATGGTGTTTTGTATTGGCCCATTTTATCATCCATCAGGTGAAAATCGCAAGTTTGATCATTTAGAAACAGCCTCTTCTCATCAAGACACATGATTCAAGATCATTCATTACTGTAGCATAGAAATTGCTGGACAAGTTACTCAAGTATATTTATCAATCAGACATGAAGTGAGATCATGGCAAATGAGGACATAATATGAACCTTTTCGAGTCAGTTTACCTGTCTTCTCTCCCTCTCTACCACTCTCTCCATCTCCTCCACTCTCAGCAGCACTGCATTGTGGGATTGCTCAGCCTCCAAGTGCGCCGCGGTCTCCTGTGCCATCTGCTCCTTCATCTGCGAACAGATGCAGAAGGTCAAGAACTATCAAATGAGATTGGAATAACTATTATACTTATCACATTATAAAGATTTATCAGTTTAAATTGGAAAAATATGAATATACACTCTTTAAAAACAGTGCTGTTATTGTTAATTAAAACTAAAAATTATTGAAAAAAAAACATTCTGTTAATTGAAATAAAGAAATCTGAAATAAAAAAATTTAAATATTAGGTGAAAAATAAACTTTTTAAACACCACCCTGTAGTTCTAAAATTACAAACTGAAAAAAAAACTAATATTAAAATATATATAAAAAATGCACAGAACAGAATTACTAAAAATTCATCTAAAATAAAAATTGCAAATATAAAATAATAATTTATATATTAAATTAATTAATAAAACTACAATAGCATATACATGATACTAAAAAACACTGCTAAAAATGCATGTTTAATGTTTTTATTTATTTATTTATAAATAAATACTAGTTACCATTTCACCTGAAAAACTAATGGTGATTTTTTTTTTATTATTATCTTTGGATTTTTTTGCAGTTAATTTAATAATCCTTATAAATATCCAATAAATATTAAAAGCACAAATATTGCATGTAATCTCTTAATTAATATGAGTCCATGAGCTCTTTTACTTTAGCGGGGGTGATGTTCTCCAGCGCCTCCATGAGTCTGAGCACCTCCCGCTGCGCCTCCTGTCTCTGCTCACAGGCCTGCTGCAGCTCATCCTGTAACTGCAGCACCTCCCGCCGTGAAGAGCACTGCTCCTCCTCATGCTGCTCCTGCAGCGCGGCTAATCGCTCCTGCAGACGCGCTACACACAGAGGGACATTACAAACTGGAAACTGCTCCCACAGACGCACGCTGACAAAATTCATGTGAAAATCTCTTACACACACACCTTTACT